AAAAACCAATAAGCTCTCCCTTTGGTGTCAACCAAGCCAGTCAGCCAAAAGATAATCCCCTTCTTTTCTATGGGAGGTTTTTGGGGTGACAGTCGCTCAGCCACGCGGGGCCCCTCTGCTACGCTGACATGGTGGTAATGTAATGGCAGCGCGGCCCAGCCAGAGCCAGAAAATATAAATATCTGAGATGCCTTCCATTGGTGGGAGGTATAAAACTGAACGGCTGCTTGATGGCACAGTCTGCAGATGCACTTTATTTTTGATTTTTCAGAGATAATTTTTGGGATTTAGTGGTTTCACATAAACAACAACCTGCTTTATGTGCTTCTATGTTTAGATGTTTGCCCTGCACAGTGTCAACCAAGCGTTTGCTCTTCTGTCTTCCGGCTATCAAAGAACAGCAGGCTTCCTCTCTGCACACTCTGTCTTACTGACTCTTACTATTATTGATCACCATAAATTCTGTCTTCTAAAAACATTTTCTGCCAAAAAAAAAAAAAATGTTGCAGGAGCAATTTTACATATTAGTGAAATGAAATGAGATTGACTGACTGGGTCATGTGACTGTGGGGATTTCCTCAGTGGAGGAATCCCTGGTTGCTGTCAGGACCACAGAAATCTTTATCAATCCATACACACAGCTCACACACACAACACAAAGTGACAATCACGAAAATACTGATGAATGCTGTCAGCTGTCAATACACAACACCAACCTCGGTTTCTAACCTCCACTGACTGGGAGTTGGATAATGGCATGATGAAATACAGTGTCAATAAGTGGGTCAGTGATCAATAACCTCAGTGAGGGGCTGTTTATGTCTACCTCTGGTTAAACCCTCCCAGGACACTACGCTATTGATTAGGCAGAAGCGCGCGCGCGCACACACATGCGCGCGCGCGCGCACACACACACACACACACATTCATATGAGCGCCCACACATTCCAATCATCCTTAACACACAGAGCCAACACGTGCACACCCTGACACACACACTTCACACACTCACACAGCGCACATTTCTCACCATTTGTCGGTCCACTCATGATGTGAAGGGGGACAGCTTGAATGATCCTCCTCGGAGTCTCTGTCAGTCTCTGAACTTTATGTTTCCAGCAGAAGGACAAAAGCTGGAGATATGACCGAGCGCTCCTGTCAACTCTCTCTATCCCGGCCCGACTTAAACTCTCCCTCCCTCCCTCCCTCTCTCTGCCTCAGTCTGGACAGGGCTTTCCCTGCTCCTCCCGGCAAGCGGATTATAACTGCCAGGCGGCAGACTACACTGCACCTCTCCACCCTGCGCTAAAAGGCAGCCGGTTGAGGAATTAAATCGAAAGTGACGGCACCATCCTCCTCATCCTCCTCCTCCTCCTCCTCCTCACGCCTTCAGCTGCTGCCTCTCCCACCCTACAAACCCTCCTCTGGTCGGGTGCAGAGGAGTCCATTCCTCCCTGGACCAGAACAGTCAGTGCGCTCCCGAGGACGCCCGCACGCCTGTGCGCTCCGGTGTGGGGACTGAAAGGCGGGGAGGAGAGGGGAGGGGGGGGGGGGTAAAGGGGTTCACAGACCCAAAGCTGTCAGAGCGTCTGTCACCGGGCGGGACGGGCTCGTTTCACGGAGCGACAGCGGCGAACAGCGGCTGAACTCCGAACAACCCCCGCCAAAGCCTCAACGTACACACAGCTGTTTTATGACTCCACACAGGGTTTTAACAGCCATGGCTCTCTATCGGGATTTTATATGAGGTCCAACGTGTTTGTAATTTGGTAGCCTGTTTTGTCGGTCCTATGTGGCATCAATGTAATATTCCTACCAAGAAAAGTGTGTCAACGGCTCTCAACAGTCAGTTAACGGCTGCCCTGATTGTGGGCCACTTTAATCCTATCTGCTATTTTTATTATCTCATGGCGTGTCACTTTAATATTCATACAATAATCCCACAATTCCTATTGGGATTGTGCTTCCAATAAATTTGACATGTAAATAATTCCAACTCAAACAGCTGTTCTCGGCTGATCATGTCACATATGGAGTTTTTTTGATTATGATCTTTGATATGATTTGCACCCATGCATCAGAGAGGAACATAGAAACCTGTCATTTAAATCGTCACACAGGGATTTCATAGTGGGGGGTGTTTATGCTTTGTGTATGCACCTTGTTGCCTCCAGGTTCCTATCATGTGCAGAGGACACAAAAACCAACTAGTACTTCTGTGTTGGACCTGGCACCAGGTTTTCTGTGTATCAGACTGTGGTCTATGTGATTCCCTGACAAATTTGCAATTAATCAAATTACCAAACACTGATTGACATGCAGTGAACCCGGGCTTTTGTGGGGTCCAGGGCCCTGGGACGATGGTCAGCTTTGCCCTGTTGATAATTCAGGTTTGTCGGTCAATAAAACCTGTATGTGGATCTTAGAGAGTAGTTGAAATTTACAGACTCACACATTTTAAAACGTTGCACAATTCATTACTCACACCTGTTTTCCCTAC